TCCGCAAACAAAAAGTTTGGTAACTACTTTTCTATACATCCTACCGATATAACCTTATCGCCATTTTTCCCCCAGAGACCTGTCTTATTCAAACTTAAAATAATGTACTATGTTAAATCTTTTGTTCATTTAATATATACAGGTTACTAAAGCTTGCTAGATGCTGGAAGATAAATATCTTTAATAAAAACACCTAACATTCTTCAGCTTCCCAAAGATCATAAACATAAGACAGATAAGAAACTGGAGAGAGTATCTTTTAGCTTGGTCTAGGCCCCAAGTGAGGCTTTTATCCAGAGAATGCTGCATCTTACATTCTCAGATCACTACCTAAATCCACATTTCAATGTGGTGACCCATTTTGAAGTGGTTTCTTTGTATATATATATCACTCTTGGTTTTTTACTTTGGATTTAAATGTCTACATTTGTAGAAGGAACAGGTTACCTGAATAACCCCTGTCTCACAAATTCTATTTTACAGGTGATAGAAAAATAAAAGGTAGAGATGGAAAATAGGCATTAGATTATAAATAATAGTGTCTTTACTAAATAGCAAGTACCATAGAAGGTGGTAGCCCTGGTTATGTGACTTTTACCAGTAACTGCAAAGTTACTGAGAGACATTAAGTATGCAGCCAAGGTTATTTTTATTTATTTATTTATTTTTAATCCTTACCCAAGGACATTTTTGCATTTACCTTCAGATAGAGCAGGAGGGAGAAAGGAAGAAAGAGAAAAAAACATCGATGTGAGAGAGACACATTGAGCAGTCATCACCCACACGACCCCAATATTGGGGTGAGGACAAACTGCAACTGAGGTACGTGCCCTTAGTGGGAACCAAACCCAGGACTCTTTGGTCCGAGGGCCGACGCTCTAATTGCTGAGCCAACCTGGCCAGGGCTGCAGCCAATGTTAAAAACAGGTCTCTAGAAATCTCTGATGTGCAAAGATGTAGTGATTTTATATTTCAACTGAGGTTTGAAAAATATATATATATCATTTTTTAATCTTTTTTTTAATCCTCACCCAAGGATATTTTTCTATTTATCTTCAGACAGAGTGGGAGGAAGAGAGAGAAACATCTATGTGAGAGAGACACATTGACTGGTTGCCTCCCACACGACCCTGACCAGGGCCGGGGATGAACCACAACCGATGCATGTGCCCTTGGCCAGAATCAAACCCGTGACTCATTGTGACACTCCACCGCTGAGCCAAACCGGCCAGGGAGAGGTTTGTAAAATATTTTATTTATCATCCATTTTCATTCTTCTTCCCAGACCACTATTATCAAAGTAACATATTTTTAAAGAGCATACAGTTAAAGTTGTGAGATATAATTTTGGCTAAATAATCTTTACACTGAACAACAGACACAGTATGTTTTAGGAGTGTGTTATTAATGAGAGGGGAGAAAGAAAAACCAGGAAATAAGCATACAAGGAACTGACATGAGTTTCCAAGAACTTGGCAGTGCTTGTTCTGTGCTTTGTTAATGAAATTTAGGTTTGTTAATGAAACTTAGGTTATTCTCTCCAATAAAAAGCAAATGATGGCAAACAGTACATTAAAGATTAACTCCTTGTCTAGAGTAACAATCACCCATAACTTCCTCCTCGCCAAAGATTTCTATTGCTCTCTCCCTGACATTGGTAAGCTATTCGGATCACTTTACCCAGCAATATTTTACACTAAACATAAAAATAAAGAATAACAACTTAAATATATCAAGAACTAAAACTCAAATTAGAGTAATGGTACATTTTAACTATTATTGTCCAAATAATTACTAGAATAAATCAGACAAATATGTTGTTCTTTCAATTACAGATAAAAATGTTTTAATGACGGTAAAAACTATCTCACCAAAAACAAACAAAAAAACGTAAATGATAATTATTTTAATTATTTTTAATTGCAAAAGTTTACATTGTATTGCAGTGTATATTGATTTACTGATTTTTCCAATAGTAAAAAGTCTCTGAAAACTACAAAATACTTTACCTATATGTGAATTAAATATGAATTTTCCAAAGACAATATGACTCAAGGTTAACCAACTATAAATAAAATAAAAATGTCCTAAGTCATAAGTGAACTATTACTTTTAAAGGCCCTTAGAGTCCATCTCAAATTGATAATTTTAGAAACAGCTTGTTAAAAAGTGCTGATAGATTTAAAAACATACCTACAGAATAGAACAATGTGTGGGTTCAAGAGAAAGCTGTAAAAAGCAAATTCATGTGTCACTGCTAATATCTACATCACAGGGGAAGAATTAGTATCTCACGGTGCTCCTTAAGTACCCTAGAAGAATTCACAGCTTCCCATCAGATTTCAAGTAATACAGAACTCAGATTCAGCCTTCCTGACTGAATACATCTCTTCTGCTAAGCACTGGGAAGTTAAGAAACTATGCCAGCTGCACAGCTGAAATGGAAACACAAATAGCTGCTCTCAGTCAGTGTGTTGGAGACACCACAAAATAAATGATCTATTTCCCTGATGGTTACCCACATGCCATCAATAATGAAAAAGTGTGTATTAATAGTCCTAAGGGACAAATGAACAATAACTGCTATGGAAATGTTGGATAGTAATTGAATAGTTCAGAGAGCCTTTTAAACTGAGACTTAAATCTACTTGAGCAGATTTGTCAAACATTATACTAGGCAGCAACATACACTTTTGTGCTTTCTCCTTAACTTCGAGCATGGAAGTTGACTTGGTAAATGTAGTCAACTCTGACAGAAAAGACAACAGATTATTGTCATTTACAATTTATTCAAAAATTATAAATATCTATAAGAAAGGAAACGGTTTAAAAAAAATCTACAAGGCTAAAAATGAAAAACATGTTCCAATTAAGAGTGAATGAAATTCAGGAAGTTTCCAATTTACAAAAAAGGTAACGTTCTAAATAAAAACTGCATGAATGAAACTTAGAATTTATTTTCTTATGAAATCAATATTACAAAGTAGTAAGACTCTCAAGCCAGCTCATAAATGCATGAAATTCCAGTTCATGTTCTGGAAATACTATACCTTTACAATCCCAGTAGAATGTACTGCTAAAGGAGTTAACATCTATGTGAAGCAGTAACATAACATGTAGTCATGTATTAGAAGTCTATCATTTCAGAGAAAAACCTTAATTAGAATAGTTAGAACTAGAACCTTCTTTAGGTGTATTCTAAAATGGATATATAAGGGCCTCAGGCATTCCTGAGGTGACTAAAGAAGAATTAGAAAAACTTTAGAATCTGAGTAATAACTGAGTTCTAAATAAATAAAAAACAGAGAAATAGAAATAGATTCCCCTGAGATAGGCGACGATAGGGGAGATCACAGAAAAATGTTAGGTTAAACAGTTTCCTGTACTGGCCACTAAATCATATTGTTAACCCATGCCGATTTGTTCAGTAAATTTTCAAAAGGGGCCTGAGGTATGCCTGAGAAGGCAGGTGGTGTGCCAAGATCTGTATGTACATATATTCATAGACTGGCTTGCTTTCATCATTTCAAATTAATTATCAATGGGAGGCAGTATGGTGCAGTGGACAGTGTTTTCCTGCTTGGTCTGTTAATAGCTAGGTGGCTTTTGCCAACTCAACTTCTGTAAATATGTTTCCTGTAAACATGTAAAACGGGGTGAAACAGGTAATTACAAAACTGCTAAGATCAAATGTAATACATAGTATCAATAAATGTAGTTACTTCTATGAGGCAAAGTTTAAGGTACTGTCAGTGCAGGGTAAGTGAAAGTACAATTAGAAGTTCTGTTAGACTTGGATTAACTAATAGATAAAACTCACTGGGGAGTATCTGAGTATTTACACACAGAATAATTAGGGCAATGCCTTATTTTTCTGTCAAAATCCAGCTCAGGAAGCAGCTGCTTCAGAAAGCCTTCCCTGGACCTCTACTCCCTATTGCCAATGATTCCACATTCTGTAGTTTGTACAAATTAATGTGGTGGCACTTACTATTACAGGGTAACTCATTTGCTTTCCATAGGCTCTGAGTTCCTTGATGAGAGTGACTTCAACTTAACTGAACTCTGTATTTTCAGTAGGTAGCAGTGTCTGGCATACAGTAAGTCTCTGTAACAATTACTAAATTGTGCAGTCTAAGGATAATTATGACATAACACTTGACGGACAACCACGAATTCTAATTTAGCGGAATAAAATTTAACCTTTTAGTAAAAGATAGGTGATTAATCTAAGCATGCACACAAATAAGTATTAATCCATGCCAAGAGACACCAGGAGAGGATCAATGGAAATCAAACATCAAAACTTAAGCCCTTGTCCTCTTGTGTATTTCTATTCAGTTGCTATTACACGGTAAACATAAGCAAAAGCTATTGAATGAAAAGACTTGTTCTAGGTTATGAGACCTTGAGTAATGACACTAGCAATACAATTTGCAGAAAATAAATGTTCACAAAAATCAACAGCGAAATTGACTTCAGCTGCACGGGGGTGGTGTCGTGCTGGTTCTTAAGCACCCAGCACTTGCTGCCATGACATTCCAAGGTGTAAACCTGTTAGTGACGTGAACGGATCAGGGCTACTGCCTGCCTCAGACCCAGTAAGTGGGATTTTTGTTTCACTTTTCATCTGTGTGTGAAGGTGCGGGGAAGGGGTGGTTTCCATGTACTAGTGTGTACACGTTACTAGAAATACCACTGATACATGATTCTGCGATCGTCCGACACGGTCCCAGCAGGGCACCGGCGGGCCTTGGTGATCCGCGCGCCTTGAGTTTCCACAAGGGGCGTTCGTTTGGGTTTCCACCCGCCGCTCGCCAGGCTGCGGACCCGGCTCCTCCGGCAGGGGGGGAACAGGTCCCGCACGGCCCCGGGCGCGCAGCCCCACGCCCCGAGGAGGCGGTTCCGGACCAGGGCGCCAGCGAGGACCCGCCGGCCACCCCTACGACCCCCCTGGAATGAGCCGACCCGGCGGCTCGGCGGCTCCGTACCGCACTTACTTAGACCTGCTCGCATGCTGCGTAGTCGGCCGCGGACACGCAACCCGGCGCCGCGTAGCAACGTCCCCCCGTGCCGCTTCCGTCGCTACTCATCGTCCTCTTCCAGCCGAGGGGCCGCCGCCGTTGCCTCAGTCTAGCCCAGAGGTCCTGCGGCGCCGCTCTCGACCCTTCTACTTCCGGCCCACACTCGGTGTCGCCGGCAAATACCCCCGGCGGCTCCCACATCACCTGCACTCCGCCTCTTTCCTAATACTGGGAACCCGGTCCCCCCTCCTGCGCATGCGCAGAAATGAAGGAGGGGAGTCCCCGAGACGGTGGCTCAGATGGACAAAATACATCGGCTCCTGGACGCAGGCATTCGCGTGATTCCAGTGGGCTATCTCACAGCCTCCCAGCCTTCAGGGGCCATGGGAGCCCTCCCCCACCCCCACCCCGCATCTGAAGCTCAGAGCCCACTAGCTCTCTTTGCTGGACGCAGTTTTGCAGAAGAAAGTGTCTATTTTATAGGGTTGTTAGGAGTATAGGAGTGGTTTAAAACGCGTCTGTAACTATTTTTTTCTTTGTTTTCTCTCAACCCAATCCTCTCCAACCTCTGTTAAGAGTAGGCCATTGGGCAGATTCAGATTGTGAGGCCTGAACCTTGCAAGAAGTAGGGGACTCTTTTAAAGAAAAAGAATGCAAAATTATCTTATTTTTGCAAATTACTGAAGTACAAGACCAAGGCAGCGTTGCTAGGGCCGCTCTCAGGGCCTTGGAAGTGGCCACACAATTGTGTCCCTGAAGCTGGAACTTTATTAGCTTCACTGTCAACACCCCTGGTACTTAATTGTACCAGATTATTTATTTACACATGACTGTCCCCTATTACTTGGTTATTCCTTATGCTGTGTACTCTTGTTTTATATATACAGAATTTGTTGATTTCTGCTGAATCCTTGAACAAATACTAGAAGAGTCCATAATTGATTTCAGGGCATGAAATTGTTTATGTCTGTATTATGAATTATGTATTATGTGTTATTTATGTATTAAGAGACAAGAATGTTACCGGAAAGGGGACCTGGCCCTTAGTGGGTCTGCCTAGGGCTGGTCAGTAGCGTGTGGGTTCTTGACTTTGTGCAAGAAAAATTTCACAGTACAAGTCCAGGTGAATTTTATAGGACATTTATTAAAGCTGGGGACAGTGAAACAAGGAAGAGCCTAGGATAACAAGAGAGGAACTAGATGGGGAAATGAGCCTAGGTTGGGCTGCTTTGGCTCACTAAGAAGTCAGAGAAAAGGGGACCTTGCAGACAGGTTCAGGGGGTTTACCTGGGATGGACTGCCACTGCCCATAGCTGCCCTGATTGCAAGCCTCCTGGGGTCCCTTGAGAGTTTTGGAGATGCTTGCCTGTGGGGGAAGAAGGGGAGGAGAGGATAAGAAAGGCTCAAAAAAAAAAAAAAAAAAAAAAAAAAATAGCCCTGGCCGGTTTGGCTCAGCGGTTAGAGCGTCGGCCTGCGGTTCTGAGAGACCTGGGTTCGGGTCCCACTAAGGGCGCGTACCTCGGTTGCAGTTTGTCCCCGGCCCTGGTCGGTTGTGCGGGTGGCAGCCACTCGATGTGTTCCTTTCACATCGATGTTTCTCTCTCTCTCTCTCTGTTCCTCTCTCTCCCTCCCACTCTACCTGAACAAAGAATGGAAAAGAATGGAAAAATGTCCTCGGGTGAGGATAAAAAAAAAGAAAGGCTCAGGTATGTCCCCAGGAGGAAGAGTGGAAGGAGGGAGAGTCCATGCTAGGACATTCTTTTGAGGAGTTTCAAAGACTGGGAGTTTAGAGGAGGTCTTAGGGGTAGGACCTCAATGGAATATTCATTAGTTTTATGTTGATGTGCACAAATGAGATTTATTCACTTATCTTCATCTGCCCTTGAGTGGCAAATGGCACTAATTGGATGTTTGTTACCTCTTAACCCTCCGGTTGAGAGAAGTGCATACCATTTACTCTTAAGTGCCCTTGGTATAGGGAAGATAAGAATTTCTAGATGGCTGCTACTGCTTGGCATCTAGATTTACTGGATGGGTACATAATGCTTGTTTAACTGCCTGCCTCAGTTTCCCTATTCCACTTGTCCTGGCTTACTAGCCTATCTCAAGAACTCACATCAAAGTTGTGCCACCATGAAAAACAAATAGGAGTGAATAGCCTTAGGCAACATTGCAAAATTTTTGTCCAGAAATAAGAAAAGGGAACATTTCTGGACAAAATTTTTCCACTGAAATAGCAGATGTTTGGGGATGGAAGATGCCGCTTCAACTCACGCTTTCATAACCAACCAGCCAAATGAGTACTGGTGCCAATGTTTACAAACAGGGACCAGAACTGAGAGGCTGTCACTCGCTAATAAGCAGGCCAAGCTGAAGCACTCTCCCCCAAAGTGCCTGCTGCGCTCATCATGCCTATGACGTTATAGCTTTCCCAGCCTGCAGTTGCGCCTGCGCCTGCGCACATCATTTTCCTAACGTCAGGGCCTTGGCTGCAAGTGGCGCCTGAGCTTGCGCCTGAAACAGCTGACAGACCGGCTCTTGGGTTCCGGCGTCAGGTTTGGTGGCGGCCCCTGAGGCTTGGCGAAAGGTAGGAGGCCTGTGGGGCTGGCGGGCCAGGGAGCGGCCGTGGAGTCCACGGAGCGAGCCAGAGGTGAAGACTGGGCAGGCAGGAGCTAGGCAAGAGTGAGCAAAGCAGGCGGGGCATCTCGCGTCCTCTCAGTCCAGCAGAGGCTTAAACGTTCCCTTTTCTTATTTCTGGACAAAATTCTTTCAGTTCAGCCGCCCCTGGGTCCATACGTGAGAAGTACGGACCACTGTGGTGAAGGCGTTGGTTAGAATCCGGGTCTTTGGTCAAGCTCTTGAACAAGACCCCGACCCCTGGGACGCGGGCAAGAGGACTAGAATTTCCCCCGCGTTTGTCTCAGCAGGCGGCCTGACTTGCACGCCTTCTGATTCCGAGGACTCCCCTCTTCCAAGTGGGGATCCTCGGCCTCGGAGAGGAATGGGATTTGTCCAGGGCCAGGAATTCATCCGCGACCCATTGGAGGTTTTGTTGGGGGGAGGAGGAGTGGTGTAGCCCGCTGCTGGGATTTTATGCGGGTGTATCCCTGGAGATGGAAGGAGAGACTGTAGGCTTAGAGAGAATTACCTTGTTTATCTTTCATTAACTTACTGGCTCCTACAGGCGTCTGGCTTTTTCTTACCACTAACTTCTTTCTGCTGAGATTCTCCCCAAGTGTCACAAAGTGCTGTGTAAACCCTTCGTCTCAGAGGGAAACACATCGTCATGGCCAGGATTCCAGGAAGGAACTTCAGTTGTGCCGGTCACTTTCTCTCTGATAAAATAGAATTGACTCATCTCCCATACTCACAGACAATGTAGGCAGCAGCTGAGTGGATGGTAAGGCAATGAATCTTTATATTCTTTTTCTTGAAATCTCTGCTTATTATTATCAAAAAGTGGAGAGTCCCCCTTCTTATCTGCTTAGTGTTTTGTAATATTTATATTTTAATATTGCTTGGATCAGCATGCATTATAGTACTAAAATTAATCAGGGACTTACTAAAAGCTAGGTACTGTGTTAAGCACCTTAAGTAAATTATCTGGTGTCATTCTCATCTTAATCTCTGCAGTTATTAGCCCCATTTTACACTTAAGGAAACGGAATCTTAGAGAAATTAAGCAGTTGTCCCATATCACACAGTCATTAACTGTTAGAGTCCACAGCTGAACTCTATTTATTGGATTTCAGAGCCTGAGCCCTATACATAAACCTTATTTTATTTTTTCACAAATTGAAAACTTAAGCTAAAATAACCTCAGAATCCAGAAAATAAAATTAGAGAGTATGTAAAAAGCAGTGGAAATAGGAATACTGTATCAAAATACAATTTAGATAAGTAAAAATATTTTCTATTCATTTTATGCTAATTTTGAAATCCTTGTCTACATAGCAGCTTTACATGCATGTGTATCTACACCCATAACTAGATTTCAACATTAGTATAAAATAATTTGACTGTTTACCTGAGACTTGTTGAGGGAAACTGACTTTGAGACCACATATAATTTACAGATAAACTGGAAACTGTATACCAATACTTGAACACTTAAAGAAGTATTTATTTACATAATTTAAACATACATTATATAAATTATAAAAATAACATTATATGCCAAAATATACTAGCTTGAAGGAGCATGTTTTGAGAGGTAAGAGTTATCATGCACAACCAGGTGGTGCATTCAGTTATGCAAATGAGACACACTGAGGGGAAGCAGTTACTGTGTTCAAAGATAAAAGTCTTAAGAATTTATCTCATGGGTTTATCTCTTAGTCTGTCTCAGTAGAAGTGGGATTTTCTTTGTCTGGAATTAGACTGAAAAATGTGGCTTTATTCCCTATAGGCCTATAAATGGCTATTGTGAATCTTTTCCAGTGCATTCATAGCTACCGAACATTTTTAACCAACCTGAATCCCACCAGCTGTGTGTTTGTGTATCTGTCTTTCTGTCTCCTGGCATTCCCTAGTGTGGTTTCCCAGGAACTTAACTATAGGAATTCAATAATGCATTCAAGGAACCTATGTTTTGCCAATCACAAGGGCCACAAATTGCAACATGATTTCTGACTTCTTGAGACTGACAGTTTAGTCAATATGGTACAGTAGTTAGCCATTGGATTTCTTGTGCTAGATAATGTAGCCTTGTACTGATAGTGTATGTGATTGTTTTTGTTTGCAGGGTTGGGGAATCATGTAGTCTCTGCACTATACCAGATATTCCCATTCCTGTGACACTGCTCTGGGCTCCCTGTGCTACATGGAATGTGCCAGGAGGTATCTGAAGCCACTAGATAAAAACAAAAGTCTGTATTCCTGGAGCAAACATTTTTAGGTGAAATCTCTTTGAAAAGTTAGTCTTATAGAGTTTAAACCATATTAAAATAGCGTTAATACCTTATAGATTCTAATAGAATGTGCATGGATATTTAAAATGTCAAAGGCCCAGCTGGTGTGGCTCAGTGGATTGAGCATTGTCCCATGGACTGAGAGGTCCAGGTTCGATTCCCTGTCAGGGCACATGCTAGGGTATGGACTCCATTCCCAGTAGGGGGTGTGCAGGAGGCAGCTGATCGATGTTTCTCTCTCACATTGATGTTTCTATCTCTCTCTCCCTAAAAAGGCAATAAAAACATATTTTTAAAAATTGAATGTCAAAGAAATGTCACAGTTGTGATGACAGCTTTAGGAAATATTCTAGACCTTAGCATAGCAAGGTACCTGTTATTTCCTTTGACTTTAGAAGATACTTCAGTGAAAATCTCTGTGTCATGACATTTTGCTGTTTTTTATTTTTGTTAAAGCACTTAGCATTTTATAACTAGTTTCCATAATGTCCCTTTTTCTTTATAGGGTGTATACTCTCTTAAAGCAGTTCTATACTATATTTGCCCATAGCATAGTGCCTGGTTCATGTGTAGTCAGTGAATGGTTGGGTGGGGGTAACTGGCAGGGAATATAAACCAAAAGAAGTGTACTAATGAATTAAAATTGATAAACTGTAAGTAACCATGTTAAAATATAGGGTTAAAGAGACAGGTCAAGTGAGGATTTCATTGGGGAGGGTATTTTGAGTTGGGTTTTGAATTCCAGAGTTATTTGCATAGCTACCAGTGAAGAAGTGGGAGTAAACATAGATGTAAGCTTTGTTTCTCTGAAAGAAGAAAATAGGTATTAGTTTCTGTTTGTATGTGTATGAAGGGTCCTGTCTATGTAGGAGTTCAAACTTTCTACAAAGCCAAAGTGCAATTCAGTGAGCAAATGATTTGAAAACATCTGTTGTAAGAAGTTTGCTTCTGATACTGTGTCTGACAGGAGAAATTTAAGAAGTTCATAAATATAGTGAATTGAGCCTTATTTGTTATCATTATTAGCAATCATCTTTTGCATTATGTGCTAAATAAGGAATGGAATAGTTAATTTCAATAGAAGTTGCAATTTAAGAAGAATTAAAATAATTAATTTTAGTATTGTAAATACAGGAAATGGGACTACTGATACTTTTGATAATAAATAGATTTAAGGTAAAATAGTTGATTAATATTAAATGTAGAGATTGAAGAGAGACATTATTTGTAGCATTTATGGCATTGATCTATTTCATTTAGCAAACATTATGAACCAGGTATTCTCTATAAGGTCTTTACATTAATATTCAGTTGAATTTTATCTTCTACTTAAAGTTACTCTCTTTCTGTTTTACTAGTTGAACCAGAGGATTCACCCATCGCTTCTATGGCTGCCTCACAAACTTCACAGACTGTTGCATCTTACGTTCCTTTTGCAGATTTATGTTCAACTTTAGAACGAATACAGAGAAGTAAAGGACGTCCAGATAAAATCAGACACTTCACGGAATTTTTAGATTCTTGGAGAAGATTTCATGATGCTCTTCATAAGAACCAGAAAGATACCACAGACTCTTTTTATCCAGCAATGAGACTTATTCTTCCTCAGCTAGAAAGAGAGAGAATGGCCTATGGAATCAAAGAAACTATGCTTGCTAAGCTTTATATTGAATTGCTCAATTTACCTAAAGAAGGAAAAGATGCTCTTAAACTTTTAAATTACAGAACACCAACTGGAACTCGTGGAGATGCTGGAGACTTTGCAATGATTGCGTACTTTGTGTTGAAACCAAGATGTTTACAGAAAGGAAGTTTAACTATACAGCAAGTAAATGACATTTTAGACTCAATTGCCAGCAATAATTCTGCCCAAAAAAAGCACTTAATAAAGAAGAATCTTCTTCAGCTTATAACTCAGAGTTCAGCACTTGAACAGAAATGGCTTATACGGATGATTGTGAAGGACTTAAAGCTAGGTTTTAGTCAGCAAACTGTATTTTCTATTTTTCATAATGATGCTGCTGAGTTGCATAATGTTACCACAGATCTGGAAAAAGTCTGTAGGCAACTGCATGATCCTTCAGTAGGACTCAGTGATATTTCTATCACTTTATTCTCTCCTTTTAAACCAATGCTAGCTGCAATAGCAGATATTGAGCGAATTGAGAAGGATATGAAAAACCAGAGTTTCTACATTGAAACCAAGCTAGATGGGGAGCGTATGCAAATGCACAAAGATGGGGATAAATATGCATACTTCTCTCGAAATGGATATAAATATACTGAACAGTTTGGTGCTTCTCCACAGGAAGGTTCTCTTACACCATTCATTCATAATGCATTCAAAACAGATATACAAATTTGTATTCTTGATGGTGAGATGATGGCCTACAATCCTAGTACACAGACTTTTATGCAAAAGGGGAATAAGTTTGATATTAAAAGAATGGTAGAAGATTCTGATCTGCAAACTTGTTACTGTGTTTTTGATGTATTGATGGTCAATAATAAAAAGCTAGGACATGAAACCCTGAGAAAGAGGTACGAAATTCTTAGTAGTGTTTTTACACCAATACCAGGTAGAATAGAAATAGTGCAAAATACACAAGCTCATACTAATAAAGAAGTAATTGATGCTCTGAATGAAGCAATAGATAAAAGAGAAGAGGGAATCATGGTAAAACACCCTCAATCCATTTATAAGCCTGACAAAAGAGGTGAAGGGTGGTTAAAAATTAAACCAGAGTATGTAAATGGACTGATGGATGAACTGGATGTCGTAATTGTCGGGGGCTATTGGGGTAAAGGTTCACGGGGTGGAATGATGTCTCATTTTTTGTGTGCTGTAGCAGAGAAGCCCCCTTCTGCCGAAAAACCATCCGTGTTTCATACTCTCTCTCGTGTTGGCTCAGGTTACACCATGAAAGAATTGTATGATCTAGGTTTGAAACTGGCAAAACACTGGAAGCCTTTTCATAAAAAAGCTCCACCAAGTAGCATTTTATGCGGAACAGAGAAGCCAGAAGTGTACATTGAGCCTTGTAATTCTGTCATTGTTCAGATTAAAGCAACAGAGATTGTTCCCAGTGACATGTATAAAACCGGCTGTACTTTGCGTTTTCCACGAATTGAAAAGATAAGAGAAGACAAGGAGTGGCATGAGTGCATGACTCTGGATGACTTAGAACAACTTCGGGGGAAAGCATCAGGGAAGCTCGCGTCTAAACACCTTTATGTCGGTGGTAATGATGAACCACAAGTAAAAAAGCGGAAAGCTGCCCCAAAGATTAAGAAAGGTATTCAGATTATCGAGCATTTAAAAGCACCTAACCTTTCTAAGGTAAACAAAGTTTCCAATATATTTGAGGATGTGGAGTTTTGTGTTATGAGTGGAATAAACAGCCATCCAAAGTCTGAGCTGGAGAACAGAATTGCAGAATTTGGTGGTTATATAGTACAAAACCCAGGCCCAGATACATACTGTGTTATTGCAGGATCTGAGAACATAAGAGTGAAAAACATAATTTCTTCAGATAAACATGATGTTGTCAAGCCTGAGTGGCTGTTAGAATGTTTTAAGGCCAAAAGCTGTGTGCCATGGCAGCCTCGCCATATGATTCATATGTGCCCATCAACAAAACAACATTTTGCTCGTGAATATGATTGTTATGGTGATAGTTATTTTGTTGATACAGATTTGAACCAACTGAAGGAAGTGTTCTCCGGAATTAAAAATTCTGGTGAACAGACTCTTGAAGAAATGGCTTCTGTGATTGCTGATTTAGAATATCGATATTCCTGGGACTGCTCTCCCCTCAGTATGTTTCGACACCACACCATTTATGTGGACTTGTACAGTGTTATCAATGACTTGAGTACCAAAATTGAGGGAACAATATTAGCTATTACAGCCTTAGAGCTTCGATTTCGTGGAGCAAAAGTAGTTTCTTGTTTAGCTGAGGGAGTGTCTCATGTAATCATTGGGGAGGATCACAGTCGTGTTGCAGATTTCAAAGCCTTTCGAAGAACGTTCAGGAGAAAGTTTAAAATTCTGCAGGAAGCTTGGGTAACTGATTCAATACACATGTAAGTTACAGGAGGAAAATCAATATTTGTTTTAAAGCTTGTTTTTCTTAGTGAGGAAAGCATTTGATTTGACCGACTCCTAACAGGTAATGATAAAATGTTAAACTAAATATTATTTTAGTCTCTTAAAAATCTGTTTGAACATATTATTACATATAGAAAAACAATAATTTTCACTTTTGAGGTAGAAAAGACACTGAATGGCCCAAAGCCAAGATAGAAAAAATTATTTTAGTAATGTAGTATTTGATGATTTTTGTAATCAAGATGAAGTAAATTTAAAGAAAAGATGTTTATATAATATCCCTATAGAAATCTAGAAGTTTGACTCAGATATTAATAAAATGCATGTAGAAACTTTTAGAGTCAGAGCATTGACCTAACAAGGTTTTCTGAAATCAATAGTTTTTAATCTAATAAAAGCATTGTAAGAAAAAAGAATTGTTACGATTGGACTTGTAAAAATAGTTCTTTTAAAACTGAAGACTGAATTCTTCTTTTAAATGTGAAATGTAAAGTATATTTTTTAAGGTCAAACTCACGAATAAGACCTTTTAATGATGTCATTAGCAAAATTAGGGGAAGTAGAATGATGGGGTGGTCTAAAACAACTTTTAATTAGATCAACTGATTTTTAAAAAACTAGAAATTTTAAAAGTGCTTGCCCCACATTTAACTTTTTTCTAAAATAGAACATGTTTTAAAGCAAGTATTTTTATGTGAATTTGTACTCCAGTATAAATGATATTCACAGAGTGATTTTCTAGATATACTTCATCTCAAAATGGCATGTGTGTTGTAACTTTCATTACAGAGAAATAAATTGCTTTGACTTTTAATATAACTCATTTATCCTTAGATTATTTAAAGTCAGTATATATAGTATATATTGTGTCTGGATTTATGTACCAAATTGTGGAATATAGCCTATACATTTTGAAAAATATACTTTCATGACATCATTGAAATACTTGGAATTTGGTACCTGAGAAACTGTGTGTTGGTTATTTATAAGTAATTAGAAATGTTACCCAAACAGTGGAACAAATGTATGTAATTTTGTTACATTTCTTAATTTAAATAAAATGTTTATATACTGTTGAAATAACTTCTTATGGTATATTTATTTTAAAATAATAGTTATTTTAGTCATATGTTATAGTATCAATATAATTTTTTATGAATTCAAATCAGGTTCCTATTTAAGGCCGTTTGTATTTCATATTCCTTAATGTGCTTTATTAAAAAAATTAACCTTGTATATTTTTATAGTAGCTATTGAGAAAAATTGCAAAATACAGATAAATGAAGTAGGGAAAAACTACATAATTTAACTACCAAATATAATAATGTTTACTATTTTAGGTTATTGATGGTAAGTTTAGTGTAAAACATTTACCTTGTAGTGTGAATAAGTATAAAACAAACTAGAACACTCTCTTTGATCAGTTTTCCTCAATAAATTTTGAGAATATACCTACACCATTCTTAATCACTGCCCAGTATTCTGGTGAATGTACTGTAATGTATCAAGCTAACCCATTGTTTGACTTTCAGGTTATTTCACCAGGCCACTTCCCTCCCTTCTCCTTTCCTACTGACCATTTGTAATAAATCTTTTACGTAGTCTGTGTACACTAGTTCTATTCATTTCTGATACCTTCCTACAAATAGAATTACTGATTCAAATTTACGTAATTATCCGTGACTTAATATGCTTTGCAAAATCCTGTGAAAAATTTCTTGCAAGATTTTTCTCATATCTAAATGTTGGAGAGTTCAGTTTCTTAGTGTTGAACCTATTCTTTATATTTATTCATTCCATAAGTATTCACATCCTGTCCCATGGCTTTAAATATGCTGGTGACTCCCACAATTTTTAGCCCTGATTTCTTTACTGAGCTCCAGTGCTTTGTATACATCTAACTAACATCTCCACAAGAAGTCTGATGGACTTCTCAAACTTAATGTGTCTAACCATAAATATTCTTTTATTTTATTTTTTAAATCTTTATTGTTGAATGTAGAATGTATTACAGATGTTCCTCATTTTTCCCCCATTGACCCCCCCTCCCCACTCCTGCCCCCCTCCCGCCTTTTCCCACACTATTGTCTGTGTCCATTGGTTATGCATATAAGTTCTTTGGTTTATTTCTTCCCACCCCCCAAACCCTTTCCCTTTGAGGTTTGTTAGTCTAGCAATTAATTTGTACTTCTTAATCCCTTCACCTTTTTCATCCATTCCCCCAACCCCCTCCCATCTGGCAATCAACAAAATGTTCTCTGTATCTATGACAATGTTTCTGTTCTACCTGTTCATTTTGTTTATGGATTCCATTGTTGATAGATATGTATTCATTGCCATTTTGTTTGTTCATATATTTTATCTTTTTCTTCAAAAAGACCCTTCATCATTTCATATAATAATGGTTTGGTGGTGATGAACTTCTTTAACTTTTTCGTGTCTGGGAAACTCTTTATATGGCCATTGATTCTAAATGACAGCTTTGCAGGATAGAGTAATCTTGGTTGTAGGTTCTTGCTTTTCATCACTGAATATTTCTTGCCACTCCCTTCTGGCCTGCAAAGTTTCTTTTGAGAAATCAGCTGACAGCCTTATGGGAACTCCCTTGTAGGTAACTAGCTGCCTTTCTCATGCTGCTTTTAAGATTCTCTCTTTGTCTTGAACCTTTTGTATTTTGATGATGATGTGTCTTGGTGTGGGCCTCTTGGGGTTCATTTTATTTGGGACTCTCTGTGCTTCCTGGACTTGTATGTGTTTCCTTCACCAACTTAGGAAAGTTTTCTGCCATTATTGTTTCAAACAGGTTTTTAATTTCTTGTTCTCGCTCTTCTCCTGGCACCCCCAAGATGCGATTGTTAGCACGCTTGAAGTTGTCCCAGAGGCTCCTTACACTATCCTTATTTTGGGGGGATTTTTTCTTTTTGCTGTTCTGATTGGGCGTTTTTTGCTCCCTTATATTTCCAAATCGGTGGTTTGCTTCTTGGATTTACGTACTCCACTATTGAATCTGTGTAAATTATTCTTTATTTCAGTTAATGCCTCCATTTCTGACTGTGCATCCATCATTTCTGACTGGTCTTTTTTTTATGCTCTTGAGGCCCTCACTAAGTTCACTGAGGTTCTCACTAAGTTCATTGAGCATCCTTATAAGCAGTATTTTGAACTCAGTATCTGTTAGGTTGCTTATCTCCATTTCGCTTAGTTCTTTTCTTGGGGTTTTGTTCTGTTCTTTCATTTGGGACCTGTTTCTTTGTCTCCTCATTTTGGCTGCCTCCCTGTGTTTGTTTCTGTGTATTACTTAAGGAGCAGTATGGGGCGAGCTGAGAGCAGATGCTGCTCGTTTGAAAGAATTTAGGAAAAACCTGAAGCAGGATCCAAGACAGATCAGTCCTACAGTTAAGCAAGTGGCAACAGCTTGGGTTGGCCTGAAAGTTGGGTGGGGCGGGGCCTCAGGGAATTACCAGGGCGGGGCAACCAGTGTGAGCCAGGTTGCTGAAGTCCCAGATATGGCAACTGTCTGCCACCCCCGGGAAGGGCTCACCAAAGGAACAAAGGCCTCTTACAACATGTTTGTCCCGGAGAAAGCCCCCTCTCCAGCCCTCGCTCCTGTGCCAAACAGCTCAGTTCTTCCCTGTGTGTCTCTGGTGCCCCTCGATCTGCCTCCCCTCCAAGCTTAGAGGGAGTGAGGCTGACAAGTCCGTGAGTGGGCCCATTAAGGAGCTGCCTGGGGCTTCAGCTGCTTCAGTTTTCCTGAGCCTCAGTTCCCGCTGGTTTTTCCAGCCAGAAGTTATGGGGACTTCTCTTCCTGGCACTGGAACCCTGAGCGGGACACCTGGTGTGGGATGGGGACCCCTCAGTACTCAGGGAGGACGTTCTCAGCCGAGGTAGCCTCCTGATTTTTATCCGCCACACGTGGGTGTGGGACCAGCCCATCTCGCCTCCGCTGCTGCCCCGCCCCTCGCGCCATCGCCCCTCCTACCAGTCTTGATGTGGCTGCTGCTTTAATTCCGCAGTTGTAGGACTTCCATTCAGCTTGATTTCAGGCAGTTTTGAATGATGGTTGTTCTGTAGTTTAGTTGTAACTTTGATGTGGTTGTGGGAGGACGTGATACCGCGTTTACCTACTCCGCCATCTTGACCGGAAGTCTTCCATAAATATTCTTTTAAAAGTTTATTATTAAAATATTAATAAATATTATTATATAACAATTTTAAATGCAGACAAAAGAATATAATAATAAACCTGCACGTGCATGTCACCCTGACTCAACCATGATCAATGATCAACTTTTAAAAAATATTTACAGACCTCTGGATTATTTTGAAGTAATTGTAGTCACATAATTGCATCTACAAATATTCTCTATAGAACTCTTGATTTTTCAAACAAACTTATCATTCCCAGTGTTCTGCTCCTCACTGAACAGTGAATTCTATTCACCCAGCTGCTCAAGCCACAAACCAGGGTCCTTGACTCCATCTGTTCCCATATCTCCAGTACATAGCAAAACTTAAGTAGAGCTTCCAAATACATTCAGACCATGACCTCTCACAACTCTTACTGATAACCATCATTTCCACCCCTGTTACTCCCTGGACTATTTTGGTACCCTCATAGTGGACCTTCCTCCTTGTGCTCTTACTCCACTGCTTTCTGTTCTCCAGAACAAAATATGTTTAAAGATGCAAGTCAGATCATGCTAATCCCCTGGTCCATACCACTGAATCCTCACCACTCATGACTTTCAAAGTCTTTAACACAGTCTGTTAGACATGGCCCCAATCAGGTGTTAGCTGTGACTTCATTTCCTACCAATTACCCCACACCCCTTGCTTACCACACTACAGTCACACTGGTTTGTTTGCTTTTCCCTTGAACATTGTTCACATCTCATTTTTACCTTCAACCATATCCCCACTTTATTAAAAAATTATTTCCTACCACTAGAATATAAATTCTGTAAATGAGGACATTTGTTTGTGTTGTTCACTGTTGTATTATTTACAGATTAATTTCTTTGGAACAGACTGAAAACCTTTGCTTTTTATTCTCTGAAGCCATAGTTCCTTGCTGCAAAGCAGGACAAACTATTTGCAGTCCAAACACTCCTCCACTCTCTTCTGCATCCCTAATGACTTCGACGTTCTGAAAGAGTTCATTCATGTCTTCAGACTAATGGTACCTTCTTGGAAAGTCAGGTGGCTGGACTAGATGCTTCATACTCACATACTCGCCTGCGATAGGAGTTAACAAGGCTGCTTGGACCCTTGAAGTCCTCATTTTTAGTGAAATATGTTGAGTTTAGCATTAAAAAATCTAATATGAAATTCAGCACTAGAGCTATTCTATAAATAACTGCCACCGTATACTCTCGCCCAATGTATATTAAGTTCTTACACTCTTTGATAATCATTTCGGTAAAAAGATAAATAAGGCAGGTTCTACCCTCAAGAACTCACAGTGTAATAAAAGTTAAAGATAATTGGATACAACAGGTAAGTGTTACCCTAGTTAAAGGAAAAATGGATTGCCCCAAAAGCCATACAGTATAGAAAAAGAGTACAAGCTTTAGAATCAAGTCATCTTGGGCCTCACTCCCACTTCTAAGTATCAGTGTTATTTTGAGAAAATCACAACCTCTTTGACCTTTAGTTTCTAAACTTTCAAATGGAAACAATACCCATGTCACCCAGAATGAAAGCAACCAGGGCTCTCTAGCTCTTACCTGCTGCTCTTACCTAGGCCTCTCCCGTGGGGTTAATAAGTGAGTGCATTCTGGAAAGACAAGTGGAATTTCATCAGTCATAGTGCTATGGAGGGTTTTTCTTGGTGAAGAGAAGATAGACGGTCAGTAAAAACATGGAGAGTATGAAAGTGTGGGAGGATATATGTAAAAGATTCAGATCTAGGTGTGAGAGGGAGATAGAGGTAAATAGAGTGGGACAGATTTTAAAAGATCTTAAGTGCTATGCTGTAAAATATGGGCAGTATCTGGAGCTCCAGTAATGTGTACAGAAGAATTTTAAGCAAGATATTTTGAGGCTCCTTTGAAGGCCAATTTCTTGATTCCCCC